TTGCAATTTATTTAAAATCAAACGGATTTTTTCCTATACTGATTTTATTTTCCATATCAGCCAAGGTTGTTGGTATTGGCTTTTCTGAGTGAAATTTTGACTGGTTTGATCGATTTTAGCGTTTTCTGTTGTAGCATTGCTTTTAACCAGAAGATACCTCGGACTGAGCTAAAGCCAAACACTAATAAATGCTGTAAATGATGCTACCAGGCCAACAAGAACAAACATGGTTCAATGTTGGGTTTATTTTATATTTTCAACTGTCAGTTTTCTACAAGATTTCGTCAAAATTGTCAGCTATTCCAGAAGGTGGTAAAGTGGGTCCAGATCACGTTTCATTTAAAATAAAAACATCCTATCACAATTCACGGAAAATAATATAGACATTTCACACGAGTAAAGGGGACATTTTCACTCGAACTCAGAAAATTAATGAGATTTTGAAACTTAATTTCCAATCACAGCCCTTTACGACATCTCCGCCACTTCTCTGCTTCTTTTATCTACAACGAGCAAAAGTATGACCGTGTTCCACTGAAGACTTATGCAGGACGATCGAACGGATTGCCTTTAATGGTTATGCAATGGTTATTACCGTAATAACGGGCGTCGAAAATTTAACCAAACATAACAAAAATAAGGATTCACGACGAATTAAACGTTTGTTTCTGATTTTACTGAAAATTATTTCGAAAAATCATTGTTCACGATTACTATGGAAATTACAATTCAGGAGAAAAAAAAATAGCCATTTCACATTTCACTGGAGATAAAAATAAGGCCATTTACGAATCACGAAAATACCCTTTACCATCCTTATTCCAATTACAAATTTCTTTTGAAGACTCGTGCATTTAGTTAAGAGTTCCCTTCATATTTTAAAGGAAATGTAAATACTATAAATTTCGAGGCTTCGCCGAATGAATCAAGATTTCGTCGGTGCGTGACAATTCTAACGGATGGGCATTTCTGGCGCGACCCGTCTTTATAACATATATTTTGTTCTTGATTTACAAATGAGTCAATTCCTGTTTATATATAAGTGAACATTTTTTAGATTTTTTCTCTTTTCACCTACACCTGCTCGCAAAATTTTTAACAGTACTCACGGTCTGTGGGAAATACGTTATTTTACTGATTTTAACTTATTTAACCTAAAATGACGATCTATTTCCTTTTTAGCTGCTATCACTCCCAAGCTTACGATCAAAAATGTACACTTTGTAATTACCTATGAATGTGCAAATAGTACTACAGCCTATTTAGTGGCTATAGGATTGGTGTTTCTCCATCCAAATTACCGAATTATCTAATCTGTCTTACCTTTCTTTGGATTGCTCCGCCGTACAGGGAACAGGACAGGCTACTTTTAACAACATAACCATTTGCAGCTCCGTTATGTTAGGTGAAACCATGTGTGAAACATCTTCAGGTACCGTTCATCCATTGCCCACTCTTCTTTTCGATTCTATTGTTTCTCAATTGCAACTAAAACGCAAAACAATAACTTTTTTTCAATAATTTAAATTATTGTTTTTACAAACAAACAGTTCCAAATAGTGTTAATTAAAAATCTTCACAAGCTTCATGTTCTTTCACGTATGGACAAACCAACATTACTGTTTTTCAGTATTGTAGATTTAGACTGATCATTTGATGATTGACAGGGCAAATACCGAACACCGGTATTAAGCGTGTTTTTTTTTTCTCGCGATCTACAACCTGTAATTATCACATAGAACAACACAGTCAACTGATCACTACAATGAGAGCATATATTTTTTAACTAGGTATTTAGTTATTTTGTTATTTTGTTTCTTGTAGAGCAGTTTTTGAAGGAACTGCAGATATCCGTTCGCTTAAGCCTGGTTTTCACCAGGGCATAAGACTCCCATAACCCAAGCATAAGTACAAGCGCAGGAAAATAGTGAACAAAAAGTTTCGTTGTTCTTGAGCTTGTGCCTATGCTTATGTCAAGTGAAGACGCGTTGCTTTAAGGTGGCTGAACACAGTTTTTGATACCTGTGTTTCATTCACCTTTAACTCTAAAACCCTTGATCCTTTGGTAGCCAAAAATGGCAGCAAGCTAGTTAACAACACAAACTTCGGTTTTTTGATAGTTAAGCTGACGTACATGCCGTTGCCATGGCAACATGAATAAATTTAAACAAGCCTTTAAAATCGGTTTTGTTTATTTGCAGAAAATCTAGTTATTAGATTTTCTTTATAATTTGCAT